TCTGCAACCCAGTCTTATCTTACTTTGCTTCATTTGCATAAGAACAGAAATTTTTGAAAATTATAATGTTATGCTAAGACAAACATAATTGGAAGGTTAACTCTAAAAATCATGAAATGTATAATAATACTAGCAACTGTTTTTACTCGTGATTGTTCTGCTCATCATGACTATTAATATGTGCAGGGGAAGTAGAACGATAGTATGTGACAAATTGCTCCATAAGCCTGATAAATTTCTACAAATTTTTATTAAAATTTATTACAGAAATGGAAAAGCCAAATTGCCAGACTGTTTTATTGCTTTAGAAGTTTAGAAATGCAATTTATGACATGATCTCATTTATATGTGGAATCTTTTTTTTTTTTTTTTAATCCTCACCCGAGGACATTTTTCCATTTTTTTGCTCAGGTAGAGTGGGGGGGGGGGGAGAGAGAGGAACAGAGAGAGAGAGAGAGAAACATCGATGTGAAAGGGACACATCGAGTGGCTGCCACCCGCACAACCGACCAGGGCCGGGGACAAACTGCAACTGAGGTACGTGCCCTTAGCGGGAACCGAACCCTGGTCTCTCAGGACCGCAGGCCGACGCTCTAACCGCTGAGCCAAACCGGCCAGGGCTCTATGTGGAATCTAATGAACGAAATAAACTGATGAATGAAATAGAACCAGAGACATGGGAACATGGAACAGACTGACGGATCTCAGGGGGTGGGGGGAGCGGGAAGAGATGAACCGAAGAACCTACATGCATATTCGCACTGCCCGTGGGCCCAGGCAACAGGGTGGTGAAGAACTGGGCAGGGCGGGAACCAGGTGGAGGGGGCAATGGGGGAAAAAGAGGGGACATCTGTAACACTCTCAACCATAAAGATAAAGTAAAATGTAGTTTAGAATTGAAAAAAAAAAGAAATGTAATGTGTTATTAGTTTTAATACTTCATTTTAAAAGAGAAAGGAAAATTGGATATGATGCTACCATTTGCATTATCTGAAATGCTAGTGTTTCAAAGTAAAGCCAGAGCAGGGGCAGTAATTAAACATGTACCCCAATCTTATTTGCTAATAGCTGAACCAGTAATTAAACATGTACCCCAATCTTATTTGCTAATAGCTGAACCTTGAGACTGGAATTCAGAATCTACTGAGGCAAAGCTTTGCAGGTTTTGCAGGTTATTGTTTCCAGAAGCAGAGCATCTAGATTGGAGTCAAAGAAAAGTCATGTCCTTGAAGAAAATCACAGTAGGCAATGTTCATTTTGACTATTTTTTGTAGTTAAATTTTGAAGAGAAAATAATATTTATTATATATATAAATGTTTATAAAAAGTATATATATTTTAGTCTATAGACTAAAATCACTAGAAAAACAGGAAAATACCCTCAAAGTACAAGATAACTTTTTCTAATAAAACTAATACACTCTAATGACAGTGCTTATTTTCTGCTTTATTTAGTGCTTGGTTGTACACTGTACTATATACCTATACATGTGCAGATATATATATAGGTATGTGAATGTAAATGGTGTGTGTGGACATATGTGCTTCACTTTTGTAAAGAAAAATTTTAAAAAGCATAAGCATAGGCAGAGAACCTGCAAACTGGGTGTCAGCCAATCGTGTGATCTTCAGAGCTAAATACTGACCACTTGAGGCAAAAGAAAGCCCTTGTGTCTGCCTGCTTCGTGTTCGCATTGTGAAGGGCGAGATGCGCTGGTGACTGGGTAGCTCAGTGGGCAGTGGATTGCTGAGCCTCTGCTGCTGGAGGAGTCGGGACCCGTTTACCATCCACAGGAGCTCCGTCAGAATCAGGTTGCAACGTCTTGTGTGCCCGTTGTATTGTTTCCTGTGCGTTCTGGACAATCATTAGCCAGATTTAGGAAATGAAAAAAAAAATCATAAGTAATAGAGTAGACAGAAACATTCTCTGGAAGGCAGATTGAGGCCTTTAGAAAATGGAATGAGCCAGCTGGTGTGGCTCAGAGGATTGAGCATCCGCACATGGACTGAGAGGTCTCGGTTCGATTCCCCAGCAGGGCACTGCCTGGGTTGTGGGCTTGATCCCCAGTAGGGGGCGTGTAGGAGGCGGCCAAGAGATGTTTCTCACATCAATCTCTCTCTCTCTCTCTCTCTAAAACATCAATAAAGACATATAAAAAGAAAATGAAATGAAACTATTTAGAAACATTCCCCATATAAGAGGAAGTGGGCTGATCTTGGGGAGAGGGTGGGAGCAGGAACAAGCCAGGGAGCTTTTTATCAATTCAGCACCTCAATATTTAGTGAAGTCCAGCTCTACAAATTATTTTGTCATATAGTAATGGTAAAAAGGTCTTTGATAATGCATTTTTTTCTTTATTGGATTCTATAATTCATTGCAAAAAGTAGTATATATTTTACTTCTCAAATTTGGCTATAATTGGAGTTGACAAAGTTAACTAATTCTTCAATGTGTGTTTTCATGTGAGCTCATCATTTTATTTATATATTTTAAATTCCTTAAAATTTAAAATCATGACACAATTAAATACATAATAATTGCTTTTAGTTTGCAACATGTCATGAACAAAAAATGGAAGTATTTACTCATTTTGTCAAAGTGAATTTTAGTACAGTGACAGGTTTCTTCAAAAGATTGGGGCCAAATATAAATTATATGTGTATGTTCATGTTTAATATCTATATGATTATGTATGTGAATGTATATATTTATAAAATGTATATACAAATCTATGTTACAATACACAGGAAAGAGAAACAGAAAATCATGTGGTCTTCACATTCTCCAGTTGTTTATATTCAGTATTATGAAAGTTGATAATGGAATACCACGCACCTTAGTTTTATAAGTACAAACAAATAATCATAAAGTGCTCTAAATTAGTGAAATGTGTAATGCATTTGGCACTCTTTCAAATTAATGTCACATGTTCTTTTTATGCTTTCTTGTTTTGTTCTGAGTTTTGGTAGAAAAGATTTAAATCAAGCTGACTAAATCATTTCAGTACTATACAAGGGAAGGTAGGAAGAGAGGATTAGCTCATCGGGCAGGATGAGTTAGGTCATGGCTTATCCCACCATAATTCAAGGCTGGAGTTACAGTCATGTCAATGGTCAGTGCCAAAATGTCTTTTATTCTAAGTTGAAATTACTTATTCCTGCAGCTGGTAAAGTTTTAGTTAGTCAATTAGAAATACAGTGGTAATTTTTAATGCTTATGATTGTCTTCAATTCTTTGCCTTTTTCAGTTTATAAAATAACTATTTTGGTTTGCATTAGATATACAGTGACCCCTCTGTTAAGAAGGAAAATCAATTTATTAAATATGCAAAATTATTTCAATAACTAGAAACAGAAGTAGAACTGATATGGAACATAAAGATGTTTTTGAAATAAGTAAGGCTTTGATTAAAAAAAAAAAGAAAGATATAAAGCAGTATTTTTCAAACCTTGGGTAGGGACACATTAGTGGATAATGAATACAATTTAGAGGGTCTTTGATAAAATTTTAAGAATGAAATAGAATAGAAGAAAAGAGAATAGGTTAACATAGAAAGGAGAATATTGGGCCAGTTATGAAACCTACAAATTAATGGTGTGTGTGTGTGTGTGTGTGTGTGTATAAAAGGATCATCCTGGATTAAGATGTGATTTGTTTTCTTCTAACTATTTGTATCGAACCAACAATAGTCTGTAAATCATTAGTGTAGAAGAAGGGGGGTGGATTTGCTAGTGATGAATCTGAGAAAGTGGTCACTGTAAGCCTGTTTCTCATCTGTAAAATGGGAGTAATGCAATCTCCCTCCCACAGTGACTGGAGGATAAGTGAGGCGATACAAGTTAAAGCCCTATGCCTGACTCCTGCCACATATTAGCCACTCAATCAATGCTACCTGTTATTAGTAATAGCATTACAAATGATACAACTAATTTATAACTTTTAATACTGCATTAAATAATATGCTGGCTCTCTTGAGATGGCTGGAGAAGATGTAGGTGTTGAATCAAAGATACACATCAAAGAAATGGAGCAGAGCAAGACCTGCGGGTGAACCTGCAGTGAAGGAAGGACAGGTTGTAAGACTGGGTTTCGGTGGGAGTATCCCCTCCACTCGTCACTCCCGGTCAGCTAGGAACACAGTAGCCACTCAGCCCATTGGCCATCTCACCTAAATACCTGTTACATTGGTAAACGTACCTCAAAGGATAATTGGGGTTTAACCTTCAGGTCTTTTCCCGGACGTGTGATGTGGTGTCAGAGGTTTCTGTGTCCGAGGGAACTCACCGTTTACTGTGAACGAGGTTCAGGGTGTGTATCACCGGCCAGAGAATCGGCAGTTGGCAGCCATGTGGACAGGCACTCGGTTCTCCACCCTTGTCTCGAAGCAAGCATGGGGCGTGGGTTCCAGAACTAAGGATGGTTCATATTCAAATCACACTGCAGTCATGTTTTCCCCTCTAGTGGAATAGCTGTCGTGTTTATCCAGACAACTAGGTTCTCGTTCTCTCTTACTTCTGGGCAGGTTGCTTGATGGCAAAAGTTTCTATGAATGAATGAGCCCCGATTACCAACATATAAATCATACTCTGGCAGATCCACATTTCTTCTTCACTTTTTTCCATAAAGGGCTGATTTTATGTCTTTTCCCAGCAGATTTATAGCTGTCACTGCCTAAAGTGGACCACAGGTGGGATAGGAAAGTGGTTCCTGGTACGTTCAAGTCTTTCTACCAACTCACCCTGGGCAGTAGGATCCTGGCCCTGAAACCCTCCGTTAGGCAGCTAGGGTGGCCCCCGTGTCCTCAAATCTCAAGAAACTCCTGTTCGCAGCCGTCCTAGGGGGTGTCTGTTTCTACTGCACAGGGGTTCCAGAGCGTTTGTTCGTCCTGTGCGTGGGACCTCGGAGCTCCCTACACGGCCCATGCTTTAACTCCGTGTTTTCATTGTCGCTTTTTTGTTTCAGAGCATTTGAGTATATAAAGACAAATTCTTTTTTTCAGGTCTGAGAATGAATAAAGGTGCCATCACCCCTCCTCGTACGTCTCCTGCGAATACGTGTTCCCCCGAAGTCATCCACCTGAAGGACATCGTCTGTTACCTGTCTCTCCTTGAAAGAGGAAGACCCGAGGACAAACTCGAGTGTATGTGTCTCCATGTAGTTTACTTGTCACAGTGGGGTGGGGGGAAGGGACTGCGAATGGTGGTTACCTTAAAGTTGCATCTACTATGGTCATCTAAATGTTTGTTATATAAAGTGACCTTGATGAATAGTAAAAAAAAAAATCCCTTCAATTGAAAATCAAAGTATATTAATAATTGACTGATTTCAGGTTATTTATCAAGTGTCACTTATTACTGAGTATTTTTTAAACATGTTTGTTTATCAAATGACTTTGTTTTTAATGCTGCTCCGTTTGGTTACAAGATGATATTAGAAAGTATCCATTGAGTTGTTTTGAAACAGAGAAAAGATCATTTCTAGTACATGAGGAGTCTTCCTATTAGTCAGCAAGAGGGTTGGCGGTAGACACACAGCTTGCCCTTCTTCCTTGGAAATCTTGCTTAAAAGCTTCAGCCCTGACACTTTCTTTGCTAGGAGCAAGTGATTTCTCAATTGCCAAGCATGAGAGTTTCATTTATGGAAGTTGACCCTGGATATTATCAATAATTTAATAATAGTCACTGTTTGTTTCTTCTACAAAGTAGCAGGTATTTCAGATAGAGAATTTCTCTAATTGAAAGGAAATGCTTGCTCTCTGATGAAATACAGTGAATGAGCGCTCTCTGGCGGCTAACTCTACTCATTGCAGTGCCAGAAAAAAAAATTGTTTAAACATTAACTCCAAGTCCAGGTGATCATTTATGGGGTAATCTATTCTGTCTCCAATGTCCTTGCTAAATATAGAGCTGGCAGTTTGTTCAGTGATCTGATTAACTTGATTATATTGGATATTATTCAAAGGAATTAAGAATTTTTGCTGCTAAAATGATAGTGAAAATAATGAATCCCAAATTTGGCATTTCTAAAGCCAATGCAGTATAAAACATTACGATGTCTCAGAATTATGATTAGGAAGTATGCTTAATTAAATTTAGTAGTAACTTGACAGTACTTCTTTTACAAATAAAGAATTTACTATAATATTATTTGAGTCACATCTGCTTATGAATAAGCTATATTAACATTATTCTTTAAATACATATTTATTATTTCTGAATATTGGATATTTGCATTTCAAGATTTATTTGTATTCCTAAGAACTTACAGAAATCTCTCTTCTTCCAAAATAAATATTAATGTTCAGTGAATTCCTATTGAAGTTACAGCCAGAGAAAAAGTTTGCTCAGGTGTTATCAGGACTGTGTTAGTGATTATTTTAAAAATAAAAAAGGCATTTTTTTCCCTCCACTTCTGAGCTTGACTAAAGGCACCATCATGCCTCCCTAACATGGTCTTGGTGTTGCAGTTTAATTATTTTTAGGTCAACTGGAAGTATTTTTTTTAAAGCTAGAATTCCTACGAGGCATGCTTTCAAGTTCTCAATTTGAGCATCTATGAATCATCTGTCTTTGTCCACAGTTACAGACAGAATGTTGACCCACAAATCATTCAGAACCACTTGCTGAATCACGTCGAACCCGACCTTCCACATACCTCTCTCCAGGGTCACCCACCCCGTCCCTCTCTTCCGTCTCTGCATTTCCCAGCTCTTTTTGAAGCTTACACCAGATTCAGTTGTATTGCCCGTTTTTTCTTTAACATTTCTTCAGACTCTTCTCATAGGCAGATATCTTAGGGCTTGGCACGATCACTGTGATTTTCACCAGAAACCTAAAAGGAAATGAATGTCGAGCCCTGAAGCACGTTACGATATACCTAGGTTCCAGCCCTGCTCTGGACCTCCTGATCCCTCCTGATCTGGACCCAGCCTAGTCCTCAGGCCTCTTCCTACATCAGTTAAGTCAGAATATATTCCTCTCATCCACTTTCTTAGCAAAGTGCAAATGCACATTTCTATCCCAAATTTGCAAATTTAGAAATTTCTAACATTCATATATTCTTTTATAGTTATATATATATATTTTTTTTAATATAATTTTTATTGATTTTAGAGAGAGAGGAAGGGACAGGGAGAGAGAGATAGAAACATCAATGAGCGAGAATATCAATTGGCCGCCTCCTGCATGCCCCCCACTGGGAATTTGGCTCACAACCTGGGCATGTGCCCTGATTGGGAATGAAACCAGTGACCTCTTGGTACATGGGTGGATGCTCAACCCATGCAAGAGGCGTACAGGAGGTAAGCGATAGATGTCTTGTTGGTTGGGCATCGTCCCATGTACTGAGAGGGTGCTGGATTCATTCTTGGTCAGGGCACATGCCTGGGTTGCGGGCTGAGCTACACCGGCTGGGTATAGTTATAGATTAAAAAATTTTTTTTTTCAGTAAGACTTTAGAGAAATTTAATGCTTATTAATTTAATAGATATTTATTTCCAAAATAATTATGATTTACTAAACACAATACAAGGTAGATAAAAGAAAGGAAGAAAAATAATTAAAATGAACACAGAAATAGATATAATGAAGCACCTAAAATAATTAACATTTGCAGATGAATACTTAATTTGAATGCTGATTTTCCTAACAAAAAGCACCCTAACTTTGATAGTTACTATCTGAGTGTCCTGGGCATATTAAAATAAACAAGCAAATGAAAAAAACCTTTATGGCTCAGTTTTCCCAGATGTAAAATTGGGATCATACTCATGTCCCTCATGTGTTTGCTATGAGGATTCAATGAACTAATATCGTCCTGGCGAGTGTGGCTTTGTTGGTTGGCATCATCCCATGTTCTGCGAGGTTGCTGGTTTCATTCTCGGTCAGGGCACATGCCTGGGTTGCAGGCTGGATCCACAGTATGGGACGTGCAGGAGGCAGGCGATGGATGTCTTGCTCTCACATCAATGTTTCTCTCTCTCTCTCTCCTTCCTTCCTTTCTCTAAAAATATAATCAATGAAAAACATCTTTAAATGAACTAATATTTGCTTGCATAAATTCCTTCACATTGTTTAGTTTACATAACTGTTTGTTAAGTGAAATAAAAGTGAGTTCAGAATTCTTTTCCCTTAACTATTTCACTTTCTCCTAAATTTACCTGCCTTATTTTTGGCTTCTCATCCCTTCGAATACAGACTAACCCCATAATCCATGATGTCGCCCTTCTTTCATACTTAGTTTCAGGCACCCCCCAATATATTTGCTTTCTTACTCTGGTGGCAGAGATTTATAAAATTATCTAAATATAATTCTATGGATTAACTTCAACTGGTCTTCAGTGTTCCTCTGGTCATCACCTTCTTTTAGTTAAAAGTTAATCCAGATGCGTTGTTTCTTCAAACACCTGCTCATTTAATCATCTTCTCACATATAAAGTTTGAATTCTTATAAGATCTCTCATGTTACCTAAAATTTGTCAACATCTGGACCTATTCTCTGCTCTTTCTCTTCTGCCTTGAGATTTATAGGTGTCCTTTTGATAGCTCTCTATTGAGTAATAGGCAAAACTAAACCCTTAACTTGGTGTTCATAAACTGATCTGGCCCCACAGTCTGACCCCAGCCTACCTTGCCAGTCTTGCATTTAGCTTTGACTTGCCCACACATGCGCACATGATACCCGAGTCACAGGGGGATTTACTTTTCGGCCATCAGACAGACCCTGAACTTTTCCACATTTGTGCCTTTGCTTATAATGTGCATTTGTGGTGGGTGTTCACACTCAGTGCACATCAGATCCTCTTTCCATGAATCCTCTTTCCATCTTGTAACTGGATTTCTTTTACACTTTTTTCTTTTACCCTTGTACTATGTGTGACTTCCCACTCTAGCACCTACTACGTGTGTGTGCGCGCACACATGCTTCAACAGATATATGCTCAAAAATGATAGTTTAATAGAATTGTATTAAAATTAATGAGTGCTTGGGAAGAGAAAAGTAATGTACATATTTAAGGCATGAAATAATACTAAATTCATTTATACTGTGACTATAAAATACATGGTATTTACATTTGGGTTAGTGTTTATAAATTATTAAGGACTTCACTAGAATACTACGTAAATTAGTTTACATTTACTAAAAATATATCACTAAGGAGAAACCAACAGATAAATAACCAGAAAACAGATAACTGATATGGAGCTGATGAAGACTAACCTATATTATTAGTTTGTACTATGTGTAGTATTAATTTCAGAATCACTGAAATTTAACACTGAGGAGACCATTGGGAGCAAGTACTCATCTCTCCTATAGTGTTAATGAAGCGAGCCCAAAGACACTGGACGTTAATTATACCAAGAGCTGATCTATTTGTGGCTAAAACCTGTAATTTCTTACCTAATGTATAAGTGCTCTTTTACTTTGAAAAAAGCTTTATTTCACTGTTTTTTAGTGTTGTTTTTCTTGTAAAAAAAAGAAGAAAGCATTACTCCATTACTTCAGATATCACAAATTCTAAGTAGCTACTTTTTTTGGCTCTGCCTTTAAAGTTAATTATGTAGGTCTTGAAATATATTAAGTAATAAAAGAAAATTGTGAATTAAAGAAATTCCAGCTTAAATGCTTTTAGAATATATATTTTCTAATGTTTAATAACAAATTCCATCTTACTATTTTCATATCAATAACATAATGCAATGTACAAAAACAGACTATATTAAAATGATATTCAAGGAACAAGTAGGTAAAAACCTGCAAATCTTTGGAAGAGAAAAAAATTCTTGAGATGAAGAATTACCCTTATTTTATATAATGTGCCATTGCTCTGAACTTTTAACCAAATTCATGTGTGGGCACATAAGTGATTCTATATAAATGTAATTACATGAGCATTAAAATAGGGAGGAAAGCAGGTTAAAGTAGCTTCTAACTTTGTAACAGGTGCCCACCCTTGGAAGCTATCATGTTGATAGAATAAGTTTAATATGGGGCTTAAATTATTTTTGCACCAAAAAAATCTATATCCTTATTATGTTGATTTTTAAAACAGGATCTATTTGTTCAACGATTCACTTGACCCAGGCCTAACGTTGTTTTTAAATACTAAGAACAAATAGTCTTATCAAAATGTTTGAT